GGGGGGTGGGGGGGGAGGGGAGTGTTACCGAGCAATGGGCTGGCTCTGCTCACCACGATCTGAAGCCAATCGATCAATCACAAGTTAGGGGTCAAGAAAGGAAGTTTTAATTCGATTAGCTGCTATAATCGGGAAGATGGCAGACTAATGTCTCAAAAAAAAAAAGCACCTTCAAAAATTACAGATTCTTGAGGCAGGTAGATAGGGAAAATGGGCAGGAAGCAGGGGGTTTCCTTCAGGCATGATGGACTCCAGGGTCTTTGATTGTTCCCTTCTTCTCTCAGCTGGGACGGATGCCTTGTAGGTGTGTTTCCCACCTGTGCTCATCCTGTTCCTAGAGAGAAACTCATAGAACAAAGTTTTAATTTATCAAGCTAGCTGGGAGTACATACGTAAGCGGAGGCCCTAAATCAGGAGAAGATGTGAATTTTTTAGAGTAGTGCAGAGCAGCGAGTAGTCACACGGGGGAGGGGCTGGGGCCATTTATCGTAACAAAATGGCCTCACTTATGTTCGCTTACAGGAGGGACAGAGCCAGGGAGCAGGAACAATCCCACAGGTCAGAAAGGACAGGGCGGCAGGCTGGACCATCAGTTGGAACTACTGAGGCCAGAAGAGAGGGCAGATTTGCTGGGGTGAGGTGGGGGGGAGAAGGACCCAGAATCAGAGCTGGGCACACAAGGTGTAAGGACCACCTAGAGGGGCCCAAGGAGGGCTCTCGGGACCCAGCAGTCAGGAGCCTGGGCTTTGCCCTGTCTCTGCTCCTAAGTGTCCGGGTGACGGTTTGGGACAGGCCCCATGCGATCTCTGGGCCTCGTTTCCTCAGCTGCGATGACTTGGATGACTCGTAAGATGCTGGGCTCTGAATTCCAGCAGGCTCCTCCTCACACCTGTAGGGCTGTCAGGGAGGAAGGAACGACTATGACCATCCGTGCTCTCATCAGGGTTCCTATGTGTCACATCCCTAACGACACCCAGCACCTGACAGCATCCTCATTTCGCTGGTTGAAAAGGTGTAAAGTGGCATCTCAGGGTTGTTTTAATCGACACTTCTTTGATTACTAACAAGCGTGACCATCAGTTGTGTGCCTTTTGGCTTTCCTCTTCTACAAACTGTCTTTCATATACTGTATCTGTTTTCCACTGAGAGTCCTGTCTTCTTCCTGTTGGTTAGCATTAGCTCCTTGTGCATCATGGGTCATATTGCGGTGTTAGTGTTAGACATTTTCAGTTAATTTTTCCCAGTCTATCATCTGCTGGATAACTTTTTCCATAGTGTTGTTCATTGAACAGAATTCCTCAGTCTTGGTGTAATCAAATTAATGACTTTTTGCCTGATGATTTGTGCTTTCGAAGTTTTGTATAGGAAGCCCTTCCTCAGCCCTAGGTCACACAGGCATTCATCTGTTTCCTTTTTATATTACCTTAATAATTTTATTTTTCAAAAATATATCTTAGATCCATCTGAGGTTCATCTTTGACTATTGTGTTAGGTACAGATCTAGTTTTTTTGGTTGGTTGATTTTTTTTAATCCGCTCTGCCAGTTTTCTCATGGATGTCCAACAAATAATAAGCCTTTTGCCTCATCGATTCCTGGTGTTACCTTCTCATAAAGTATGTTCCCGTATGTACATGGACCTGTCTGGAACTCTTTAGTGTGTCCACTGTTCCATTTATCAGTTTTTGCACCAGCACCACTGTGATCAGTTGTATTACTTAGTAGTATATCCTAATATTTAGTAGGACAAGTCCTCTCTTTTTATTTTCCCTTTTTCATGGTTGACATAGTTATTCAGGCATCTTTATTTTTCCATGTCATTTTAGAGTAAGTTTATGAAGTTCTTCAAAAAACTAAACTCCAATTGTGTTTAGGATTACATTTAGAGACTTTCAATTTGGGGGAAATTGACATCTTTATAATATTCTTATCTCATCCAAGATCGTAGATTATGTCTATTTACCTGTGTCGTTAATTAGCATCCCAAAGTTCTCTCCAAAGAGGTTTTGGTTACATTAATTCTTTCTAGATACTTTATAGACTTTGTTACTATTCTGAACAGTGTCTTATTTTGATTAGATTTTCTGAGTGATTAATTCTAGTGTAGAGAAACACTTTTGACCATTGTCAGTTCATCTTGTATCCGGCAGACTTGCTAAACTCCCTCATGAAATCTAATGGTTTGTGGATTCTGCTTATTTTTTTCTAGGTAGATGGTCCCCTCATCTCAAATTGTGACGATCTTCACTCTTCCTGTCTCATCTCCTTCCCTCTTATCTGTTTTCTGTTTCTTTAGAGCACTGGCCAGGACCTCTCATACTATATTAAGCATTAGTAGTAGCTGTGGAAATCCTTAATTTGAATTTCTACTTTCTCCACTAAGTAATATTTACTGTGGTCATTGGTATTCAGTCTCTACCAGGTTCTTTCTCCCCATTTCTAGTTTGTTAAGGGTTTTCCCCTATAATAATAACTGTGTTGAATTTTCCAGATGTTTTTTCTGCATCAGTTGACTTTTTTCCTTTAGTTTATTAATTTGGTTCGTTTACATGGATAGATTTTCTGAAGTTGGACAATCCTTTTGGTCCTGGGATAAACCCCACAGGATCATAATACATTCTTTTTTTAATACACTGTTGAGTTCAGTTAGCTAATATTTATTTTGGTTTTGACTCTGTTCATCAGAGAAACGAACCTATAATTTAATTTTCTTGTATTATCCTTAACTGGTTTTGAGATTAAGATGACCCTAGCCTCTTAAAATAAGCTGGGCAGCTTTTGTTTCTTTTCTGTTTTCTGCATCATCTTGTATAAAATATGAATCAAATGTTTGTTAAAAGATTGGTGATACCTGTAAAACCATCTGAGTCTGGAATTTTCTGTGAGGTTGGCTCTTTACCTAACGTTTCAGTGTCTTTAATATTTATTCATCTATTCAAATCTATTTCCTCTCGTGCTAATCTTGGCATTTTATATTTTTAAGGAATTTGTCCACTTCTAGCATTTCAAACAAGTATTTATTCAGGATTTATTTATTTAAAAATCTTTTCAAGTGAGTGTGTGGTTATTTTCTTCTTTTCCTTCAATTTATTGTTCATTTATATCTTCTTTTATCTTGATCAGTCTCGTCAGAAGGAGGTCTGTCTTATTAGACTTTTCACAGCACAAATTATGTGTTTTCTTATTCACCATTTTTATGTTTATGTGGGATGCCACCACAGCGTGGCTTCACAAGAGGTGCTAAATCTGCCCCAGGATCTGAACCTGCGAACCCCAGGCCATCCAAGTGGAACACATGAACTTAACCACTATGCCACCTGGCTGGCCCTTAGCTCATTTATCTTTAACTTTTTGTATTTTCCAACAAATATACTTAAAGTTGATAATTTTCCCTCTACATATTAGCTATGCCCTATAAATTTTGATATAGTGTTTATACTATCATAATATACTTTATTGTATATTTAATGATTTATATAACAATATATTAATAAATATTTAGTTTCAAATATACTATTATAGCTTTACTTCTATGCGTTCTTAACTTTATTGCATTATCCCTGGAGAATATATTCTGTAGATATTAATTCTTTGGAATTTATTCAAGCTTCTTTTATTTCCTCATCCAAAGTTTACTTTTCTAACTATTCTCTGTGTATTGGAGAGAATGTTTACTACCTGTTTTTATTTATGTAGAATGTTATATATGTGTATGCATGTACACAGTTTATATATATTTATAAATAATGTATTTTATTGAATATTCATATTGCATTTATATAGTTGAAAATATTTTAAGCATGTAAATACATATTTTCAAAAATTATTTATTTTATAATATATTCCCATAAATATATATCATAATGTACCTAACATATTTATAAGTATTACATAAATATGTATAATACCTGGATTTTATTGATTATCTCATTTAGAACGTAGATTCCCTCGTTTATTTTTTTATCTCACTGATCTATGATCTTCTGAGAGGGATGTGACTTTCCAACAGCAATTATTAATTATTTATTTCTCTTTGCTTTTCTGATAGTGTTACTTGGTATATTTTATGGCCATATATTTAGGTACACATGTTTATGATGGTTCTATTTTCTTATTAAGTGTACATTTTATCAGTATTTATTGTATGTCTTTGTCTCAGAATATTATTTTACCTTAAATTCTATTTTGTTCAATATTAAGATCGCTACTACAGTTTACTCTGTTTCATATTAGCCAGATATATTTTTCCAATTTTTTTATTTTAACCTTTTAAAATCTTTTTTTCAAGTTTATCTCTTGTGGACAATATATTGTTGCAATTTTTAAAAACCCAAACTGAGTCTTTATCCTTGTTTTGTGGGTTTAACCCACTTAAATTTATTGAAACTGCTTTTATAATAGGACCCGTTTCTGCCTTCTTATTTCATTCTCTCCATCGACTGTGATTTATTTAAAAATGAGTTATTTTCCTATTTTCCTTTGGAGAGAGTTTTATTTTGCTGGTGAAGGGTATACCTTCCATTTCCTTAACTGAAGACCCATATTTATATTGATTTACTCCACTTGCTGCCTCAGACCTATCAACATCTGCCTGTTGCCTCCTTGAGACAAGTACTCAACCCTCCTTTCACGGCCCTCTGCTCTCTCCTCCTCACCCCAAGTTGGTGTTGTCTAAAATGTTATTTTCCAATTGTCATGGATACGTTTTCTCTTTCTCTTCATTTTGGTTCTAGCCGCTTTTTTTTAAAGGATAAAAACAGACTTTGCCATGGTGCTTGCTCACGCTTACTTCCTCACCTCTTGCAGCATCTCCTGAATTTGTTTTTCATCTTAACCGAGTACTTCCTCCAAGAGCGTTTTCAGTGGGGATCTCTGCATGTGGCAAACCTTCTGAGGTCTTAGAAGTCCCAAAGCATCGTGATCTCACATTTGGATGACACTTTGGCTGGATATAAAATTCTAGGTACTAAGTTCTTTTCTTTAATACTTTAATAATTTTAACTTAATTGTCTTGCAGCTGGTGTTCTTCTTAAGAAATCTGATGTAGACCTAATTCTTGTTCTTTTATAGGTGATCTGAAAATCTTCTTGTCTTTGATTGTCTTACATTTCACATAATGGGGCTAGGGCTGTGTGTGTGTGTGTCCTGTTTACCTCTCTTGACAATGTACAAGTCTTTTTGATCTGAGATCTTTTTCTACAATTCTGAGAGATCAATATTAATTTTTTCTCCAAATATTTCTCCTTTCCATCTTTTCTCTCCCACAGGGATTCTTTTTTTTTTTTTTAAGATTTTATTTTTTTCCTTTTTCTCCCCAAAGCCCCTCAGTACATAGTTGTATATTCTTCGTTGTAGGTCCTTCTAGTTGTGGCATGTGGGCCGCCACCTCAGCGTGGTTTGATAAGCAGTGCCATGTCCGTGCCTGGGATTCGAACCAACGAAACACTGGGCCGCCTGCAGTGGAGCGCGCAAACTTAACCACTCGGCCACGGGGCCGGCCCCTCTCCCACAGGGATTCTTAATGACCGTATGCTAGTAGATGTATTTTTCCATGTCTCTTCACTTCTCTTTGATTTTTTAATCACTTCTTGCTTTCCAGGAACTTTCCGGGAGAATTCCTCAACCTCTCTTCCAGTTTGCTCTCCAGCCACATCTATCCTTTATTTATCACGTGTGATGGTCTTTATTTCAGCTATAATATTTGTCACAACTAGTATGACCATTTAGCTCTGTTTACTGGTTCTTCTCTTGATTCAGGTTTCTGTCTCCCCTCACCCCTCTAGCTCTCCTGATCATATTCACTTGGAATTACTGTACTGTCAGTTCCCATAGTTCTGCTTCAGATCATTTCTATTATTTGGTGTGTTGTCATTCTTTTAAGATAATAGTTCTCCAAAGATGCCAAGTTATTTTGGCTTGTGAATTCAGATTCCCCTGAGATGATCGTATACTCAGTCTGGTAACAGGTAATGTGGAAGAAGGGAAGGCTAAATCCTTCTATCTAGTGAGTTTTATGTGGGAGGATAAGCCGCAGAGCATAAGGGAACCCCCTAATGTACCCACATTGCTGCTGTTCCCATCCTCTGGTCAGGGTTTCACCTTTAAACTCATTGGGAGATCCTCCCTAGTGTGTAACCCACCTGCCTTGGAGTTTGGAGAAGGAAGTGGTTAGGGAGCAAATGCCCATGGGCAGCTGGCCATCTATCTTCACCAATATCCCACTGCTCTGGCTGTGCCTCGTGGTCCCTAGAGTACCTGCGATCTAGGCTGCTGCAGCCCATTTCTGTGGTGAAGGAGAAGCCATGGAAGTCTCAAGGCCCATGACTGCAAGAGTGAAGAGCAGAAGCAAGTTTCCTCTCACCTATTTCTTGCTTTGTCTCTAGCCACCATCTGCCGCAGTCTGTGGTCACTCTCTCCACACTCACCCCTCACCCTTCAACATATTTCAGCACAGGCTTCAGCTCCCACACTGTTTTGGTCCCATTTGTTCTCATTCCAGAAATCTGTGTCTAACTGTCTTTACTATAGTTCCTCCCAAATTAATGGCCTGTACCCTCTTCCACATTCCTCTCTCCCCAACTTTGTATCTGAGCCCTGGGAACTCCTCTGCAGGACTCTGTGCCTCAACCGTCTTGGAAAGAATCCATGGGTCCCCCTCTCCCTGACTCTGAGGCCACATGAGCTATCTGGCCATCCCTTCCCAGGACCCTCCCTCCTGGTAACATTCCTGACTTACCTGTGCTCAGAGCCATTGAGGGAAGATGGGCCAGAGGTCCCCTCTGGAGAAATGATCAGAACTAAGGAGGACACAAAGAAGACAGTGGCTGCCTGGGAGACCAGAACAGAGAATAGGATTGGCCCCAAAAACCCTTGAGAAAGTGGAGAGGGGACAGAGCAGCTCCTTAGGGTCCCTCAGGCCAGCTGAAGTCCAGACTGGTACTGTGCCCTAAGGGGGGCAGTTTCTCCCCAAGTTGGTGGGAAGCGAGGGGCAGAGCTGGGACATGCAGGTCCAGGGTCTTCCAGGACAGGCATGCCCCTTGGGACACCCAGCCCATCCATGGCTATCTTTGTGATCTGATCAGATTGTGCACATTTATCTCCCTGGGTCTTGAGCCCAGTAAGCCCTGAACATAGCTTCCCACCAGCCCAGGCCCCAGGAGCTCAGCCCTCAGAGCCGGGCCCCCCGGTGCTCCCATCCCTGAATCAGAGGTTAACCCAAGCTGCATGGCCACCCTTCTTCCCTCCCCACACTGAGACCCCAGACCTACCTGTACTTGGTAGGAGTGAGGTGGGGGTCCACACAGGAAAGTGGTTGGGGCTGAAGAGAAAAGAAAGTAGACAATGACCGTCCAGAGGACAAGAAGAGAGAATGGGGTCTGGCCTCAAAGCTGTGAGGGGAAGTGGGGGACCTAGAGACAATCCCTCAGGGCCCCTTAGGCCAGAGGTGACCTGTGCCTAAGGTCTACACACTAGAGCTATTGGGGGGTGTGTGTAAGCAAGGGACAGGCAGAATCAGAGCGAGACTCGGGACTCCTCTCTGGTGAGCCCCGGGCATACCTTCCTACTAGTTGGGGCCAGGACTGGCAAAGTGGAGAAGAGGTGAGAGCCCATCTCTGGAGACCAGGGCCCCCGCTCCCCTTGGATCAGAGCAGAAGACCTGGTAGGATCTGGGGTGATGGAGTCACACAAAGTGGGTGAGTGACATTTCCCGCAGGCCTGGGAGGGAGGGGGCATTTCCTTAAGAAAGGAGCTCTTCCGGAGACAAGACCAGGCTGATGTTTCTGAGAATAGTGACCAAGTTCCTGGAAGAGTTGTAGCTTCTAGACCATTAGGACCCGAAGTCCTCCTCCGTCCGCTGAATCATGGTGATGATGAAGAGGCCAGCACCCAATGCATCCCAGATCATGTGTCAAGAGTCCTGAGCTGCTGTCGGGAGCTTGGAGCTGGTGACTGATCAGGTACACTCATGTGAAGATGTCTGCTGACACCGAGTTCTCCTGTTGTAGGGCCCTCCCTCGAGAGGGTACTGCCACTGCACGGAGAGTGTCTGCCCCGCCACTTCATGAAACTCTTCAGGCATGACTGTCTTTCCCCAGGAACCTGGATAACAAGCTCTCAGTTCAGGGCCCTGGCCGGACCCAGCCACACCTCTCCCAGGGCCAGGGAAAGGGGACAGGGAGCAACTTCTGATGCCCACATCCAGAACACGGTCTTCAAAGCCAGCCCTCTGGTCACAGAGTCACCCTGCTCCCTGCCCCACCCTCTCCTTCACCCCCTCCATCTCACCTGAGGCCAGGAGCACCAGGAGGACAGGTGGCAGGAGCAGGTGTGGGGCTCCCCAAGCCATGTCATCCCCAGCCTGTTTTTGACAATGGAGGAGTGGAGAAAAGGGGAGCCCTCTGGGGAGAGAAAACCAGAAGCTGGGCCTGATTCTGCCTCAGTTTCCCAGCCTCTCTCAGTTGGAAGAACTGAGAAAGAGCAACACCTTGACTGGGGAAGCCATTGGCCTGAGCGGCGGGCTGTGTGGGCAGAGGGGAGGGAGGGGCAGCCAGGCCTGCATGGGGGGCCACCAGCTGCAGGGTCTGTCTCTGGGCCTGGAGACCTCAGCCCTGTCTCAGTTGTTCTCTTTGCCCAACTTCTCCCCATCTCCATCACTCCACACCTTTCCCTCTCTCACAGTCCTTCATTGTTGCTGGGGAAAGCTCGGAGAATGTCCAAGAAGAAACTGTGGGGAAATAAGAGGCTGTTCCTCCTTTCTTTCTCTCTGTGCACTGCCTGTGAATGGTCAGAGGGCCAAGAAGGCCTGACCAGAGACCTGACTCCCTCTGGGCCTCAGGCAAGACAGGGACCCCACTCCCAGGCATGATGGGTCAATGATGTGTTTTCGCCCTGGGAGTGTTTGAGCGGGGGACAGAGTTTCCATTCCAGGAGCTATAAGAATGGTCCCTGGGAAAAGTGGGGCCAGGAGGGATGGGAGAAAGAGAGCACTGAGCAAGGAGTATCAGAGGGGAAGGCAGGAGGGAGCAGATCAGTTAGGGGGAGAAAGCAGAGTGAGGAGTCAGCCTCATCTCTGTATCTTCAGTTCTCACTCCTCAAAGGTGCTCAGTCAGTGTCGGGTGGAGGAATACATGAGTGGGCGAAAAGATGACAAATCCTTTCATTGTAACAACGTGTGTGTAAAAATGTGTGGAGGAACAAAACAGCCAAAATTGGAACAACCTGAGCAAGAAAATTAAGTGGTATGGAATTAAAACCCAAAGTATAAAATAAATATCCATGACTCCATACCGATATAATAAACGATTGAATAAATAAAATAGTGGGGGAAATAGGCACATCTCCCATGCAGAGGAATTCCAAATAGTTGATGTAGATCTCTGCCCTCACGGAGGGGCAGCGTCACTCCCGCCCCTTCAGTGTGGGCTGTGCACAGTAACTTTCCTCCAAAGAGGACAGCATGGATGGGGGGAAAGAGTCACTTTACAGTGGAGAACCTGACAGCCACCCACCAGTCTGGTGACCAAGGTCAACATCAACAGTCATAAGTCACGTTGATGGCATGTGCCCTTGACATGATGCGATGAGAAGGACACTTGACCACTCTGGTCTTCCTCCCCCAAAACCCTAAGCCCATGAGAAGAAACACCAAACAACTCTTGAGTGAGGGACATTACTAATCCCTGACCGGCCCTCCCCAAAGCTGTCAAAGTCTTCAAAGATAAGGAACTACTGAGAAACTGTCACAGCCAAGAGGAGCCTAAAGAGATGTGATGACTAAATGTAACGAGGTGTCCTGGATGGGATCCTGGAACAGAAAAAGGACATTAGGTGAAAGCTAAGGAAATATGAATGAAGTATGGACTTCAGTCAATAATAATACATCATTATTGGTTTGTTAATTGTGACAAATGCACCATACTAATGTAAGAGATTACTAATAGGGGAAACTGGGTGTGGGGTATCTGGGAACTCTGCAATGTCTTCATAACTTTTCTAAAATCTAAAACTATCCTAAAATAAAAGGTTCATGTAAAAATGTAGAGAGACTATTTATATAAAATCTGTATAAAAACTTTGATAACTAACAAAGAAAAAAATATTTTTTTAACTTGGTTTGATGCCATTTAAAAGACTAGTTTATCTGAGGTCTGCTTGCCGTGCTGCACTCTGACCACATACAGCCATGTGTCACTTAATGACGGGGCCACGTTCTGAGAAATGCGTCCTTAGGTGATCTCATCGTTGGGAGAATATCAAAAAGAACTCTTACACACACCTAGATGGTAGAGCCTACTACATACCCAGGCTATACTCATCTTATGGGACCACCAGCCCATATGAGGTCCATCATTGACCAAAAGGTCATTATGTGGCGTGCAACTGTACATATCCCTCTGGGTGTTGAATTCCCATCGCAGGTCTTCCCAGCTGGTTATCACCTAGCTCTCCCTAGCTGTGTTCAGTCTTCGGAGCATCCTGTTCAGGTAATGTGATTGTCCCACCTCCCTAAAATGAACAGACACTCTGGTCTGCTCAAGACCCCACATGTCCCTGGACCTCCCTGCCCTGGTCCTGCGGTGGAACTGAGCCCTGGGGATCCCAAGGGAGAAGGGTGATAAAAGGAGGGAGGAGACGGGAAGTTGGACTTTCTGAGGAAAACGACCACGAGGCCTGGAGCCCAAGCTGTCACTAGGCACCAGGAGGCTGCCCAGGGAAGAGGGGACAAAAGGAGGAGGGGTCTGCAGCTACTTCCTGTCTTGACCATGTGTCCTGGCTGCCGAGTTCATGTGAGCCCTTAGCTATCCTGCCTTAACTGGACTTCTCGGCTCAGAGGCCTCAGCCTGCGTTAAGACCCCATTATCTGTGCCCACCCCTGTCTCTGGCCCCCAGTGTGCCTAGTTCCCCCCACGGCCGTTCCTGACTGCCATGCTGGTCCTGCCTCAGACTGTGCTGGCGCTTGTCCTGCTTCCCCAGCCTCCGGAATGCCTCCCGGGCTGCTCCCCAACGAGCCTCACTTACGTGGGGCCACAAGCGGACCCTCTTGCAAGAAGCTGGCGCAGAGGACTCCAGCCTGCCGCCACCACCCCTACCCCTGCACGAGCACGGAGTGTCTGGCTGCTCACTATGGCTCCTGATCCTGTGCTGTGTTCTGTCGCACCATACTGTGGACACTCTTCGCTCCTATCCAGACGGCCTGTGAGTCCCCTGAGAGCCAGGCTGCCTTCTCTCATTCATTGAGTGAGCCTCGCCTTGCTCAACCCTGCGGAGCTGTTGGCGCATGCTCCTTGACCTGATGGGGCGGGGCCACAGAGCGCCTCTCCAGCCTCTTGCTGTTTGCCCCTGTGGAGGCTGAGCTGCAGAGCAGACCAGTGACTTGCCCAAAGTTTTGCCAAGATTTCACAACTGAGCTGGGCATTTGAACCCTGTCCTCCAACACCCCTAGCGCTTTGCCCACCGCTGAGCAGACCCATCGCCCTCGCTTCCAGCAGCGTATCACCGTCATCCATTCAAATGGGCCACACTTCCACTTGCTGGTTCAAGGGCAAGGAAGCCTCAGAGGAGACTCGGGGTGGGGTAGGGGAGTGGGGCGACAGAAGGACGCAGGCACCAAAATAATATAAACCCTTTCTTGGAGAAAGGAAAATAAAAATCAGAAGTATGATTCTCTCTTTTTTTTTTTTTTTTAAGATTTTATCTTTTCCTTTTCCTCCCCAAAGCCCCCCAGTACGTAGTTGTATATTCTTCGTTGTGAGTCTTTCTAGTTGTGGCATGTGGGACGCTGCCTCAGCGTGGTTTGATGAGCAGTGCCATGTCCGCGCCCAGGATTCGAACCAACGAAACACTGGGCCGCCTGCAGCGGAGCGCGCGAACCCAACCACTCGGCCACGGGGCCAGCCCCTGAGTCTCTCTTTAAGAGGAAAATCTGCTTGAGTTAAATGGAAACTATAAATCAAACTACCCAGGTGTGAAAGTACAATGTGCTATAAGTTTTTATTCAGTATTAATAAGAAGCTAAATTTATAGCAAGGAACTGAAAGCTTTGTAGCCAACCAGCTGTATTGAAGGAAAAATCTAGGAAGCAGTGCTGTCAGACAGAATTTCCTGTGATTATAGAAATGTTCTAGACCTCGCCATCCAACACAGCAGCCACTAGCCCCATGCAGCTGCTGAGCACCTGACACACAGCAAGTGCAACTGAGGAACTGAATTCTTATTTTTCATTTAATTTTAATTACTTTAAATATAAATAGCCACATGTGTCTAGTTGGAGTGTTACATAGCGCAGCTCTGGATGCCTGAGATGAACTTGCACACCCTGCCCCCTCACAGGGGCAGATCTCTTTGCTGTGTCATGTTTGTGAATGTCAAAACTGTAAAGCTGATAGGAGATAATGTATGATAATATCTTCGCACGTTGTCTAAAAGACAACATTCAAAATATTATTGTGCTTCAGATTGGGAAGAGCATGGTAAATAAGATCCCCAAACATAAATCACAAGGAGAAAATGGATGGATTCAATTACATTGTCAAACGCTGGCTTCCCAGATATCACCAACACAACCTGTTGATAAGAGAAAGCTGGGTTTATTGTGTATGGGGTCAAGGAGAACCCCGCCTCTGCAGAGCTGGGGGAGCATCTGAGAGGGGGGCAAGGTCAGAATTTATTGAGAAGTTTGGTCTAAGGCGGGTCTTTCCAAGGAGGGGCTGAACCAGGATTGGAAAAGGCTCACAACACAATAGTCCAGGACCGGTGGAAACAGCAAGACAAGGATTTTGAGGCAGGGATTCAAAGAATCTTAGGGTGCAAGTATCTCCTGATGCTTTCCATTGAAGAGTCGATGCATCTTTCAGGAAGTTTCCATAGCAAAAAATCAAACCATTTGCCTGGGCAAGGAAACTCCTGGAAAAGTCAAGTCATCTAAGCAGGACGGCGGCATAGCGACGTCACGTTCACTTAGATAGTTAGACGTGGCTTCAGTTCTCAGGGTCAAGGTGGAATGTGCTTATGGAGGGTTTCAGTTCACAACATAAAAATTTATTTTTCAAATAAAGCATATTGTGGACAAAAGCAACATCGGGGAACAGCTCTGCGATGACACTCTGGCCATCTTGCGCGCAGAAACTACTCAGGCAAAGGCTTGAACCACAGCTGATCTGAGTCATGGCAGAATGCCCTTTGACCTTCCTGGGATGAGAGAGGATGGGAGGCCTGTGCCAACGTCTCCACTCACCTCCCCATCTGCCCTAGCAGACCATTTCTCATGACCCCCGAGTTGTGCTATGGTGACAGGCTTTCTGCCTGACCCCCTCAGAAGACAGCGGCAGAGAATGGGCTTTCAGCAGTGTTGTACTGAATGCAGAAATTGCTTGGCATTCCCTTGGCCTCTGATTACTCCCCGTGGGTCCCCTTCCACCCACTCTCCACGCTTTCCCACTCATGACTCTTTTTCCCCCACTGTCTAAGAGAGGGGCTAGGCGGAGGTCTCACTAAAGGGGTCTAGGAAGCCTTTTATTTACCCCTGAACAGAGAGTAGCATGTGACGTTTGTTAGGGGAGGAAGGCGTGCCCATCCACTCCTGAAAGGGCGAGTCTGCTGCTCCCTGGGTTTGCCTTGTCCTGGGGACCCTTCTGGAGGCTGCTTCCCCTGAGGAGTGAGAGAAATGGACAGTGTTTGAAACTGATCCATCCACGCCAGGCCAGCTTGAAAAAAAGACTGGATTGTCAAAGAGCAAAAAGCCTCACCCTGCCCCGTCTGCCCCTGGTCTTCCTGTCCTGGGGAGCCCAGCCAGCCCTGTTCACATTGCTCCCAGGGGGTGGCCCTGCCTCCTGTCCAAAGACTCCTGAGAACAGAAGGGAGGAAAGGGAGGGGACAGGCTCTGGGGAACCCCTGGGAGACAGTCCCTCTAAACCCACGTCTGCAGCCGCTGCCTGTGTCCCCTCATTTTCACCCCAAGCCTGGCCCCAGCCCCCACTCACTGGAGGCCCAGGCTTTCTGGAAGAGGACCAACAGGTCCTTGTCCAGGATGAATCTGCAGGTCAGAACAACAGCCAGCGCCAGCAGGCTGCGAGGTCAAGGGTGAGCATCAGCATCCTAGGTTTGACTCTCCTGAATCTGAAAGGGTGAGTGTCTGCCGAATGTTGTGCTCTGGAGTTCAGCCTGCCTCCCGGCCAGAAGAGCAGCCAAGCAGGGGTCTGCACCCTTTGAAGATGGGGCCTTTGCCTTTCCCATGATCCTCAACCCAGGCTCTCACCCCAGAGGAATCTATCTGGTCTTCTGCCTCCAGTATCTCCCTTCTGCATACCTCCTGCACACGGCCACCGGGTCACTCTTCCACTCAAGGGGCCCAGAGGAAGCCTTCATGTTCCCCACTGCCTACAGGACAACATGCATGCTGCATGGCATTGAAGGCCCTCTGAGATCTGAATCGTGACACTGCTTCAACCTCACCCATCTGCTCTCCGCTCTGCCAGACGGTCTTCCTTTGTAGCCGACACCCTCCCTGCATGCGCTCCCACCACCCGCCCCTGGCGTGGAAGGCCACGGCCTCTTCTACATTTATTACTCCTCCATTACTTTCAAAGTTTCTCCCTCCCATGTACTGTTCTCTGACACCCACCTCTGGCCCTCACTCCCCAACAACTCTGGGTAGTGGACTCCTGTGGATCCCGTTCCTTTAACTCCAAGGAAGAGGCTGCTGGTTACTCAGATTCCATTTGCACCTGGCCCACATTTTCCAGGTGATGCCCTGTCAGCAGAGGTATAATATGCCTGTATGACCTTAGCTCCCCAACCCCCAGCTCCTTTCCTCTGGGGCTGGTGGATGGGACTTCGCTGCCTTGAAGTGGTAACATTCAAGCCTTCAGTCAGGGCTTCGGGCTAGAAAGAAAAGCAAAGGTCATTCTCCCTGCTGGGGTTCAGGGCTCCCTTGGCCTGCCTGGAGCAGGAGAAAGTCCTCCACGTGGTCTAGCCTGTCTCTCTGGAGTCCACAGGTGGGGCGTGAGCCAAGGGCCCCAGCTAATCCCAAAGCGTTTCTC